TCAACGAAAGGCAGATCGGGTCCCCCCTTCATCGCAAGGGTCCCCCCTTGCGATGAAGGGGGGACCCGATCTGGCTTCCAACACCTCTCCGCCGGATCGAGCTGTACGCTCTACCTCCCCACTGCCTCCCAGAAAAGGGAAGAAGAGCAGAGGGGAGAAGAGCGGAATGTTTTTCTTTCCTATTCTTTCATTCCTCCTTTTAGATTCACTACCATGAGGTTAACTGCTTAAATACTTAAAGATTGCTCCAAAAAGAATCACCCCATGAGCTTTTCTGTGTGCTCATATTGCAAGAGTTTTGATTATAACGACACATATTCTAATATTTTTCTAGCAAAATGGGAAACAGGTGCAAACACACGGAAATCCTGTATTAGGCAAACACAGTTTTCTAACCAGGTTGAAAGTCAAAATTTGGTATGACCACCTTTATTCTACAACACAGCCTGATCTGTCTTAGGCAGATTTCTTATGATTTCATTAAGTAGTCGTCAGGAATAGTTCTCCGGGCTTCTTGAAGGACATTCACAGCTTTCTAACTGGGAAAATGATCAGATAAAATTAAGCATATTTTCATTAAATATACTAAAGTTATTGAACAACAACAACTGATTCTGAGGAGCTCATTTAAGAACTATTGAAGTGACCCTTGAAGTTATTTTAATGGTGGTTTCACAGGACCTTGTGTCATCGTGTGTTCCCTTAGGTAATGTGAAGGCCGTCTCCCTGCGAGACATCTACTTTCAGGCTACTGGAAAACTGCCCGAAACTCAGGCGCTTCGAAAGAAGGATTCAGGGTGGGAGGGCATGAAGAAGGACAATTTCTCTTCCATCATACAAATTTACAGGTGGGTGTCTGCTACTGATGCATAGATCTGTTTTCAATGTGCAAACTCTTCTTTGTTTGTTAAATAGCAAATTCATTTAACCAGCTGGCACTAAAGTAGAAAGCAGATTATTAGATATATGTTTTTGTCTAAAATAAGTCAAAATCAGATCTTTGTTGTGTCCTTTCTAGCCCACGTGACCATGACCAGGCCAGGTTCCTGCTCCCTCTTGTGGCTGGTTTTGGCAGAAACCACAACAACCTGGACACCGCTTCGAACCTGAACTCCACCAGAAGTGACTGGGTGCTGGTGTATGGAGGCAGCGTACAGTTACTGCTCCGGCAGAAGAATTTGCGAAAGAAATGGACCTACAAAACAGCTTCCAGTCAAAGGTACAGTCCTGTTTATTTTTTCCCCCCTGCAGCAACCACTTGAGGGTGGTGAGGTTTGAACAAACTGATGTGCTTGAAAGTTATATTTTGGCGAGGGGTGCCTTACTATTGCCATGAGGTGGTCTGAAGTTTTCAATAGTTCATGTAACTGTTGTTTTAGCAACTTTCTGTGTGGTAATCGTGTGATTAATGCAAAATCATTAGAGAGAAGAGCACTCAGTCAGATATGGTTTCCCTGACTTCATTTTAGCTGCATGCCCCGATCTTTGTTGTTGTTTTTTTTAAAAAAATCACATTCCACCAAAACATCTGTCCCATCCTTTGGAAAACTAGAAAAATATGGGTTCCTAAAATACTTATTTGTATGTCACAGTCAACCAGTTGCAGGACACTTCAATAGCGATGGAATCCTCGATCTTTTCATTCAGCATTCATCAAACGGAGTCATGAAGGTAAAACAAACAAACCAAAGGTTCTTTCATGCTTTTTTCCCCCTCAGGGCTGAAATTACTTTGCTGACATGTAACATCTGCTCCGATCTCACTGGTGGTTTTTCCTCCTCTTCTTTGTCTTTCAGACATTAATCATCGATGGGGCGAATGGGACCCGTTTGTGGGCCGCCGAGTTCGTGTGTCCCCATCTTCGTTTAGAAACTTCTGCAATCTCCACGTCCACGGGCCAATCCGCTTTCCTGTTCTGGGCCAGCGATCCAATCAAAGCACAGAAGAATGTTACCAAGACAACCGTAAGTCTTCCTCAGATAGAATTGCTAGGTTAATGAGAACCCAGGAAGAGGAGCCCTCTGTGACTCCGGTGCACAAGATCATTTTACTCCATTGTGCTCGACTCTGTTAAAGAGTCTTTTTTGCTAAATGTGCTCTCCGGCTGTTTATAGGTGTCGCCGGGTGTTGCCGTGGCAGAGCCTCTCATTCGAAAGCTCTACCTGCTCCATCCTACATATCCTACAGTCCTGCTGGAGCTCGCCAGTACCACAGACACAGCAGTCACATCTGCAGGTAATCGCCACCGTGCCTTTAAAAAGAAACATAGAGCAGAGCCTCTCTCTGTACTGTACTCTGTACTTTTTTTTTCTTCCTCACTGATAGTGCGCTACCAAGACCATCAGAAAGACGCATCCTACATCACAGTGTCCTCCAGTACCATGCCCAACTCTGTCCCCAGCACTTACATAGTCAAGTGTGTGAGCCTGAGAGCTGCTATCACCAAAGGGCAAACTGTGTGGATAGGAGATGGCAGCAAGACCGTGGGAGCACTTAAACCCGGTGAGGTCAGCAAGTTCTTCAGACATCTGACCTTCAGACATCAGGTGAGAAAGAGAATCGCAGGGTGCGGACAGTCAGATCTGGAGTGTCGCTAATTTTGACGAGTGAATCTCTCTCAACTCTGTAGTGAGGAGCCAGCTCTGCTACCACGACCCTGCCTCACAAGTACGCGGTACAGCCACAAGGACTTGAGTAAGGATGAAAGGGACGAAAAGCTGTGGATGACTCTGCACCGGGGCGATGATGGCAGTTCATCCACGAAGCTGTTTACATCACGTTTGATTCAAACAAAAGTCGAATTTCATTTCTGGTACTTGAGAAAGACATCTGTTTTTGTTTTGTTTTTTTAAATTGAAACTTTCTTTAAATAATTTAAGTCACATTTAGGAAGTCTGATCTTTACCTGGTTGTTTCTTCACTTGACAACAGCGGAGTAACTTAACACTTGAACGGTGCATGTCTAGCATGCATCTCTCGTAATTCCAGTATCTACTGTGTGGTACGGTCCACTATTTCAATGCATTTTGTCATGATTACTGTTCTTCTGCTCCTTGATGTTTTAGTTAGTATAAGAATTCTGTAAATATTTAATGCTGTACAGTAATTTATTGATTTGCCTTTTTGCCGTCTGAACTTTTTAAGATGAATGAACCGCTGTTTGCTAAGGATTATGATATTTAAATGTAAGCTGCAAGACAAAGTAAAGCGCAATGTATAGCCTCCGTGTTTTATTTCAACTTTGGGAAATGCAGTCGGGAAAATAAAAACAAAAGCGCGGTGCTGTTGAGTAACCACAGGGGGCGCTGTTTCCGCCCTCTTCTTGCACATCACAATTCATCTCCGGTTCGTTTTCCGCATTGCCGCTGCATCGTCAAACGCTGTAAACATGGCGTCGGCCCTCGGTCGCCTCGTCAGGCTGTCTATCCTCAGAGCCCCCCGCAGATCCCCGCTGACCCCCTCCAGTGTACCGGGGAACACCGTGACAGCGTGCCGGACGGCCGTGTGCTCATCGTCCGGTGCTATGCTCCCCAAACCCAGAAAGGTGAGTCTCATTTGCACGCAGTGTTACGAAATCAGCTCCTCGCAAGGTGTAGTCTCACGAGCGCCGTTAAATAACGTTGTTGTTTCTGTGGTGGGGTGTGTGACACCGGGGAGCAGACCCCCTTCGGCCTTATCCGGATCGCCCTGATAGTGGTACCCTTCTTGTATGTGGGGACGCAGATCAGCAAGAACTTTGCCGCCCTCCTGGAGGAGCACGACATCTTCGTCCCCGAGGACGACGATGATGATGATTGAGGGGGTCTGGAAAGCTTCAGGTTAGCAGGTATCGCTGGCTGTCGCTGTGGGTGTCACCGTGTGGCAGAGTGCACGCTCCCTGCTCCGCCTGTGTTGTACAGTGTTGTTCAGTACAGACTGAAATGTGGGAGTTACCATTGCAATTAAAAAAAAATAACATGCTTCATTAAAAGGTACCTATTAAGATTCTTTGTTTTCTATCATATATATGTGTACTATAATAGTGATGGATGCTTTTATGAAAAACACTGAGTAATCCATGCGAGTCAAAAAGAAGGAAAATCAATACATAGTCATTTTACAATCTTTGTGAGGGGTCACCAATCAGTACAATAGGTCCCCTTTGCTGTTCCTGACCAGGCTTTAAGATTGCTGCTCAGAGCTTCAGCTCTGTAATAATAAAAACATTACGCTCACATTAGCAGCTTGAATGCTTCTGTCTGCTTTATTTTTCTTCAGGCCTTTGCAGCAGTTCTTAAACATCTCATATTAAGACGTAACCGTTTACAGGCCTTTATAGTGTGAAAATAAATCAACACACTTTTTCTGCCCCTCACAGATTGTGTATTGTGTGACGATGACCACCGCCCAGCGTCAGTGAGCATCTCAGCAGATTAACACCTTGCCGGAGTCGCGTCTTTGTGCACTAGATTCAGGGTTTTTGCTGCCCCGGGCTGATCGTATTGTACTGTATTTGTCATTCACTACTCACATCTTAGACATCGATACCAGAACACAATGATTTCAATAAAATGTAATTTTCTATCAACTGTTTAAAACACTTCATTGCCTGAAATATGAAACTTGTTTGGAACAAAGCTGTTAAGTTATTCCCAGGAGCTGTTTCATGTCCAGTTTTATGGATTATACCTTCTTAAGGAGGACAAAATCCAGACTGTAAAATGTTATTTGTCCCTCTTACTGTTAGAACTTTCGGCTCAGTTTTGGTCTGGAAATGTCAATTTTCCAAATACAAGATTAAAGCTTTTCATAGCAGCAGGAAAAAAATAATAATAAAACTGATGGAATCAATAATAATAATGAAGATTAAGCTCTCACATGCTTTTCCTACTGTCTGCAGTGAAAAAGCTTTATGTTGTTTGAAACAACCCGCTCACAACAGCATCTGCACGTTCAGTCATGGTGTGCTGATGGCTTTAATTGATCCAACTGACAATATCAATAATAAAAAGAGACTGGACTATAGATAGGTGATTGTTAAGTGTATATTTACAATAAAGAGAAACAGCTGTCAAATTGGACACAACCAAAAAGCAGGTCATAGGGCAGGCCGAGAGCTGTACAGTTCATTGGTCGTGTCCCCGGTAGAATTTGGACAGGAAGTCGGTGGGGCGAGGTTCTTCAGACTCGTAGAAATAGCGCATTATGTGGGTCTTCTGCTTCCAGACGTGGATCGTTTCCTGAAGTTCCATTTTCCCCTTTAAATAGCACACACACACGAAAAACGGAGAACACCACAACACACCGTGAAGTAAACAACTCAGTGTGGCTCTAAGTTAGATTTAATCAGCACTCGGAGCCCTAAGAGACACTGCCTTGAGAAAAATCATATTTACTGTTTCTTGTCACAGGTGCTGCTTTTACCTTAATGACCAACATGTCGATCACACGGGGGTCGGTGATGTGCTTGTTCTTGTCAAACATCTCCCTAACTTTGTCTCTTCCTTGGCGTGTTGTGATGTCGAGCTGAAACATTGCGACTGCAGAGGAACAGACACAAACGGAGAGCCATTTTGGTTCTGCTACACACACTTTATCCAGGACATCATTCCTAAATGTTACTATTACAGCTGCATGAATTAAATCAATCTACAGCGGCTATTTGAAATAAAATTGTCCTACTGTTTTTGTTTTTGCAAAGTTGCCACTCATCATCATCATTATGCCATATTTGTTTTGCTACATCAGATCAGATGTCGCATCAGCATTTGTGTCTTAAACATAAGGAAGTCACTGTCAGTTTGTAATTGATTGATTTTGAAGAGGTAAATAGTAATAATATCGTAATAACAAAATGCACTGAACAGAAAGGAAAAAAGAAAAAAAAAATCACGGTGCAAGGAATAAATCTATACAGCGAACAATTCACATGTTCGAAAAGGTCTAAAGTACACATTTATTTAATCCTACTCCCTGAATGCTATTTAATAATTTACTCATCAGTGTTCCTCGATATAACATGTAATCAGACAATATACATAATTAACTATGTACTAGTCTGCACATAAAACAATATATATATTTAATTCCAAACTTGTACTGTTCCACATTTTTACACCGCATATGGATATAGGAAAATTGTTCTTTTAAAAATCCGAAGATTTAATGTACCCCTTAGATGTACACCTTAAATAAACCTCTTAAAGGATCTGATGGGTAACCGTGTAAGTAACCACCTGCTAGGAGCCAAAACAAAGTGAATGCTGAACATGGAATTCTTGCTAACTACGGGTGTTACGAAGCTGCTTTACATATTATATTCAATAAAGTAACGGGTCTTCTGTAAGCATGAACCCACACAACAACGTAACACGAATATATGCACCTCTTTTCTTTTTTTAATCGATTCTTTATTTGTTTGTATGATTTTAAGTTAAAATGTGTGGACATAAAGTACAGAGTACATAATCTTCGATGCAGCCTCATCTGCCTGGAGCCAAAATGAACGCTAGCTAGAGTCAGTATCTAAAGGTTGCTTTGAAGTCATGAACTTCCCTTTACAGTCTAGATTAAACGGAAACATCACCATCTCTATCTGACACAAGAGAGGAGAGAGTCTTTAAAACATTGTCATATTCAGGATCCTCTGTGCTAGCAGCTAATGTTAATTATTCTGCACCGCTCCATAGACGCGACCTTGACGCTCGCCTCGCTTCTTCCACACAGTTTACCCGCTACAGGGAGCACACGTACCTGTGTTGGGGACCTCCCGGTACCATGCTCGGTATAACTCCCGGACTCGGCGCTTAGCCTCGTCCAAATCACGGCTAAAAATCGGTTTAACGACTTTAGCAGCACCAGCTGCCGTCCGGGTCGCCGCTGTGGACGCCATAACTGCTACTGTTGCTATTTTCCGGTTTCATTAAATTAGTGCTGAAAGCGCTCTGCTGCCACCTAGAGGTACGGCTGGTTCAAGACATCGCTCACAAAATGAAGGGAACGCTTCATTACAGAATAACACAAAATTTGTTGAACTTCAGGGATATCAACCTGTCCAGTTAAGAAGCAGAAACCACTGTGGATCCGTTTCACTTGCTCTGGTGGAAAGAAAAGTAACAACAGGTCAAACTGGACAACCTCCTAAAAGATGGATTTACAGGTCATTCCCAGAGACTCTTGCTGTGTGCCCCCCCCCAAAAAAAAAACCCAACTGATTTTTCTCATGCTAGTATTATGATATGAGACCTGCAGTCCAGAGAGTCCATTTCATTCAGGATGGGACATGAAGGAGATATTAGTCTAAGGAGCTTGGAAAGAAGAGCGTCTGGACTTCTTTAAGTTGCTTGAAGACATTTCACCTCTCATCCGAGAAGCTTGTTCAGTTCTCATGCGAGATATTAGGCCCAAGAACCAGGACCAGGCCTGCTACAGCATCAGGACGACTACCACTGCTCTATAAAGTGACCTACAGCTGGCAACTTGTGTCCATATTTCTGACCAAATTGTGAGAAATAGATTCTGTGAGGGTGGCATGAAGGCCTGACAGCCTTTAGTGGGACCTGTACTCACATCTCCAACACCATGCAGGGGTTTTTTTTCTTTATGAAACGTATCCTTACATTAGATTAAGCACAGAACTGAAAAACACAAACGTCTGCAGGTTTTGGGCGGATACAATATCGCAGAAATGAAACGTACATTATGTGCTGTTGAACGTCTTTTATTGATTGCAAAAATGTTTATTTACAAAGATGACAAAGGCTCTACTGTACATTAAATATGAACACGTTTTTAAAAGTTAGATAATTCTTTTTATTGCAATACATACCGTCAATACAAAAAAACTGGCTCATTGATGCAACACCTGTCATTTGCTGTGATGGTGGCACACAGTATGCCAATAATGATCAGGAGAGACTGGAGGCTTGAGAGTTCTCAGCCATGGCTTAAAACTGAGGACATCTGTGATACGGGACAACATTCATTCAACAGCCTTTAAAAGCAACCAAAGAACGCTGAGCTGAATCTGCTTCTGTACGATCACAGATCAACTTCCAATCCAGCCCCACCCCTTAAACTGCCAAGGAATTAAACATTTTTTGCTGTCTTGTCCTGTTTTCATCCCAATAGAGATTTTTGAATTTTATATTCTCAAACCCGACAGAACATCAGCAAGTTTCCCAGTTCAAAAGAAAAAAAATACAGCAAATACGTTTCTTAAGTACTGTGTGCCATTTTCACAAAGTAAACATGCCTCAAAAAAGCTGTAATACAGAAAACTGAGATGACAGCAGCTCTTCCGACCTTTGCCGTCTCAGGCAGCACATAGGGCCAATGAGAAGTTTATTCATCCAAAAATTAAAAAAGAAAAAGCTGATACAGTATGAAGTCTTTATCTACAATACCACATTTAAAAACAACAACAACAACAAAAAAGATACTCAATAAAGCTTTCCAGTTTTCAGACCAAGTGTGCACTCATACACACCGCTTCCACTCAAAACCAACAAAAGCCAAACTTAAAAAAAAAAAATTAAAAGTGCAATTTTGTACATTATATATGGCCCAGTGTAACGTAACCAGCTAATGGCTACTCTATGCTGCTCATTAAGCTAGAGAGAGAAGGTTGCCTTCAAAGCTTTCTGACCTTTATGAAGCCTGGTGACATGGTTTAAGCAGTAACAACGTCCAAAGAGGTAGCAGGTTGTACTAAACTGATAGATGAAACACTGTTTTTCCCCAGGAGACTGGGCTTCAAAGCCAGATGTGATTTTACTGCAGATTTTGTTTAGTTTTTAGATATTGTTTTCAGATTTGAGTCACAGTTTTATGCATTGAAAGTACTTGGTTACATCAAGGAACAAAACTACTTGGAAAAAGGTCATACTTCAGGTTTAAATACGCTCTTTCACAACTATAACCACACAATAGAAAGCAACGAAGGCAAACTTCTCTCCTGTGCTCTTATTGGCAGAGTGATTAAAATTTAAGGCATTATCAAAGTCTCCACACAGCAGGGACTGTCCAGCAAAAACAGTAACCATCCTTTCGTTCTCCTAAACAACAAACAAACGAGAAAACATCTGTTCCATATCAGTCCGCACTGGTCACCATGTCTGACAGAGCTTTAGTACCAGAAGTATTCTCTCAGTGGTCCAGGCTGTTCCCCAGCTTTTGCCCCTCCTGCAGAGCAGCCATAGCCAGCTTCAAGTGCTCCTTTAGACTCTGAATCTCTCGCTCATTTCGGCCCTTCATCCCACTCAGTTCCTCTTGCAACTCTCCATATCGCTTACAGGCCAGCTGTTTTTCCTGTGGAGCAGAGTGACAGAAAATCTCTCAGGCTATCTCAGTGACATCACATCCACTGTGAAGGGAAAAAAAAACATCTTGTATGCATGTTTTAAACTAGCTAAATTACTCATGATCTGCATTTTCTATGACAATGTTGGCGTTCACCTATAGACTGTACATCAAAGATGACAGTGCTCTTCAGACCTAAAAAGTCAATATGTCTTCTACAGAGCATGGTGATTCATTTAGTAAATTTTGGTCCTCATTTGAGTAAAGAAAAAAAAAAAACACCTTGGTACAAGTCAATCTGAGTAGGTACTAATGGTACTAATGGTTGGAAACCTCTCGATGAGGGGGAAAGATTTGTACTCCCTAGAAAACCAACCAAAGTGGTTGGTAGCTGTTGCTAGGTGAAACTGGTCACAAAGAGGGTGCTGCCAAAAACCTCACTGAGATTGTTCTGAATGACAGCAGACTGCCGCAGTTGCCAAAAATGACAAGCCAAAAACTAACTTGTATTTGTAGACAAGTCACGGAGCAGCAGGGCGGAGATGCGCCCTGCTAACCCAGCTAGCATTTGATTAAAAGCTCTACCGTCTCATCTGAACACACCTTGTTTCAAAACACCAAAAAGGCAACAGCGAAAATCCAAAACCTGGGGGTTAATGTTGAGCACAACACAATGGGAGGTCACAATAACTACTTGCATCTTTTATTTACAGCCTATTGGTAAATTCATGAAAAAAATCCACCCCTCAAACACACACACACACACACTACCATGTTAAGGAACTGCAGCTCATTTCTTAGACAGCTGATCTCTTTCTGCAAGTACTGTATCTCGTTGTCTTTCATCCTGAGTAGAACCTGGGAAAAAAACAAAAAAATAAAAAACACATATTGTGGGCGTTTCCTTTAAATGACAAAACAGCCTGCACTGTAATTTATGTAGTTGTAGATAAGGGCCGGAACACCACTGTCATTTACTTGAGGCCAAACGGTCAGGCTGAAGCGTATTCTTGAATATTTCTGCAAACATTGACAGATTACCGTAGAGTCCAACTCAAACTCTGCATTCTCCAGTTGAATTTGGAGAGGTTTGTACTGCTGACATGTTTGCTGTGACCCAAATGCATAAATCATGCTAGATAATCTGCAGCTGTTACAGTGAACTATATTCACAGAGATTTATTTTTCACCCAAGGCCGAATGTACTGATGACAGAGAAATAGATTGTAGTGGAATTTACAGCTCGCTGGCCTTTACTAAAGTAGTTTTTTCAAAGTCTAATCTTTGGCAATGTTCATTGTAAGCATCCACAATTTCAACAGTATAGATATGAGAGAAAATAATAAGTATAACAGGTACTCATTTGAATGCCTCATCTACGGCATCAGATTGACTACAAACAGGTATCTTTATGTAGCTGAGCACAACACACCCATACAGCAGGCCATTTCTTAGGCTTGCTGTCAGTTACTGTTGTTCTTCTAAACTAATGCTGCAGCGCTCGGTGCAACTTGCAGATTTTCACAACCGTTTCAAGCTGGTATTGCTTAAAAAAAAAAAAAAAGTCCTAGCAGATACAGAAGTGCCTGGTATGCTTTCAGTTTCAGGTATACATTAAAGAGTTGTTACCTCTAGCTCGCAGGGCATCCTGTTTTTGTCCTCTGAGCCGTGATCTCTGATGGCAGATTGTATTCGTTTCATCTCCTCTGTCAAACGGGCCTTTAAGTCCTAAAAATGAAAAAATTTGGCCTGTGTGATTTCAAGTAATGGCCGTTTGTTTGTAGAAATCTGCATACACATATTTAGTTGGGGTCTTTAAAGTGAATGCATCATTCTTCCCAGCTGAGTCTACTGCAGCTGACCCACCTGGTTCTCTTTCCTCAGTTGCTCCATGTCTCTCTCCTTGCGGCTGATTTCCCGTTCCCTCTCTGCGTTGTTCTGTTCAGCTCTGTTTAGCTCCAGACACTTCTGAGAGTAGCGCTCAGACAGTCCGGCCAGCTCTCTCTGCGAGGCCTGAGCTTCTGCCCTGCAGCAACACAAAGAAAACTGTGTTCACGTCGGGGCTTCGGTGAACCAAACCACTGATACAACAACTTCAATGCTGCCGTTTCACTCTATTACACATCAGCAGCAGTTACACAAAACAATATATATTTCATATTTTAAAAAAAATAGAGTTGGACAACCCCTTTTTTCACATTATGAAAATATAACTAGAGTATAGTAAGTTTCCTTCGTGGTGCTCTTTTTTTTCTTCATGACTTGAGTATTTCCTCCTGTGGTTTTAAAACCTCTTTGCTACTTATAACCAATGACCACAAAAATAAGGAAGAGCATGCAGAGGTAAAAAATGCAGTGTAGGCAACATAGTTAAGCCCTAAAATGCAGGTTCCAGCTGCAGCCACTGAGACAGTCTGTGTCAAAGGCCTGCGACGCTTACAAAAGAAAACTAATCCATGACCAAATTCTTCCGCATTCCTTAAGCGCCTGACAGGACCAAGAGGCAGCTGTGGTAATGGCCTTACTTCAACGAGTCTGCAAATTCAAACTTTTATTTAACAGAATACCCTTTTATGGCCACGTAGCTCCCACTCAAAAGCAAAAGGACATGTTCACATAAATTACCAATGAAGGCC